TCAGAGGGTAGAATCTGGGAGGCCAGTCAAGAATGTATAGAAGTAGTCATGTTTGGAGGCAAGATCACAGTAGCATATGAACTAAGACAAGGACAAAGTCCGATATCAAAGTGGAAATAGCAGCATTAGTGCTAACACTGATGCATAGTCAGGAGTTCGTTTTGGGGTCATTAAGCTGTGAACAATTTAAGTATTGGGGGATAGGGGGAGTTGGAAGCCAGGGAATTTCCATGAATTAATTTTTTAGTTCACAGATTAAATGCAAAATGACATCCACTGAGGCCGCAATGTCATTATTGTCACTGGTTCTCCTAGTTCGGCTCAGTAAGTGCAGTAACACAGAGTGTTGGAAAAGGAGGAAGGCCATGGTGGGAGTAGATTTCTCCTGACTGCACCATTCAGCCGAGCTCCTCCAATGATTTGGGCTTTCCACAGTGTAGACAGCACCGATCCTCTGCACTAGTCTGGCAAAAGTCAGAGACATAAACGTTCGTTGCTAAGGTGACTACCACTGAGTGCTTTCTGTGGAGTTTGGCTGGATATGGCACAACTCAGCTATGTCCTTACTGCTGAAGCAAGGCTTTTGCAAGAGTCAACCCATAGACGAGAAGAGGGGTCTGCTCTAGTTGATGAATGTGACAATCTTTTGACTCAGAGGCAAGAATGCGACTCACTGAGCCACAACTAGAGCTGCAATGTTTTCATTCAGTGTCCTATCTTTCCAAAATGCCTTCGGGACGTTTGTTATTGTACCCTGATCCCTAATGAAGGAAGCGTTCTCAACAAAAGGTTTCAAATTGAAAATATGGAACAGAAATTGTAGAGAAGTGTCTCAGACTAGGCAGACAAATTAACTTATTTTAGAAATCCCTCAGAGCAGTCAACATGAATCACTCTAGCGATGGCTGGATTGCTTTCCTGTATCCTATTCATTCTATTTATGAGAATTGTTCTGCTGTAATGTGTAGCCACTGGCTTCGGAATGCCCTAACAAATTGCCAAGAGTTCGATATGTTTCTGTACTTTTTGGAACTGCACAGAAATTTATTTCCACCCTTCTATGTTGTGCCTTTCCAATGTTATTGATTGAGCACTCTGACTTTTGGAAGGTGGCCAATTGTCACCACTGCTGTTCCAGTCACATCCATCAACTAGAGCAGACACCTCTGAACTCGTTTATGGGATGACTGTAGCAAAAGCTTTGCTTCAGCAGTAAGGAGATAGCTGAGTTGAGTCAAATCCAGCCAAAGCCCTGGGAAAGCACTCCATGATTGTCACCTTAGTAATGAACGTTTATGTCTCTAGGTTTTTCCAGACTAGTGCAGAGGATTGGTGCTGTCTGCACTGTGGAAAGTCGAAATCATTGGAGGAGCTTGGCTAAATGGCGCAAATGTATTGCAGTCAGGAGAGATCTGCTTCCACCTTGGCCTTTCTCCTCTTCCAAGACTTCATGTTACTGCACTTGATGAGCTGAAGCAGGAAATTCAGTGACAAGAATGACATTGAGACCTCAGTAGCTGTCTTGTTGTATTTAATCTATGAACTTCTAAAAAATTAATTCATGGAAATTCCCTGGCTTCCAACTCCCCTTATTCCCCCAACACTCAGATTGTTCACAGCTTAGTCTCATACTTGACCCCAAATGAACTCCTGACTATGCATCAGTGTTAGCACTAATGCTGCTGTTTCCATCTTGATATCTGACTTCGTCCCTGTCTCAGCTCATGTACTGCTGTAACCTTGCCTCTAAACTTGACTATTTCAACACACTCTTGACTGGCCTCCCACATTCTACCCTCTGTAAAATTAAGATAAGCCAAAACACTGCCACCTGTGTCCTACTTGCATGAAGTCCCATTCACCCACCACTAGTGTGTGTGATGATTAATGTTGATTCCTGGTGAAGCTGTTCAGTTGGTAGGACTCTTGTCTCTGATTCACAAAGATCTGGGTTCAAGCAGCACTGCAGGACTTGAGCACAAAAAATTAAGGGTATTACTACAGTCAGCAGACTCCCTCAGTGTCCGAGATGATGTCTTTTCAATGACGTGTCAAACTGAGAACCCATTTGCCTTTTCATGAAGATGTAAAAGGACTCAATGCACTATTTTGAAGAAGATCAAGGGAGTTATCCCTGTGTTTTGACCAATGTCAGAAAGACTGAATAATCTGTTCATTATCACATTTGTTATTTTGGGAGTAGCTGTCTGCAAATTACTTTGTTTCCTATAGTGACCACACTTCAAAAGGACCTCATTGGCTGTAATGTATTTTGAGCTGTCAGGTGGTTGAGAGAAGCGCTATACAAACGCACATCCTTTCTTTAAATCATGGCCTCAATTTCAAAATTCTCAACTTTGTTTTCAAATCTGCCCAATGGCCTCACGTGTCCCTATCTCTAGCTCCATAACGCTCTGAGATAGCTGTGCTTCTCTAATTCTAGCCTCAGGAAGATTTCACATTTTAATGGTTCCACAGTTAACGGCTGTGCCTTCAGCTGCTTCGGCCCCAGGCTCTTGAATTCCTGCCCTACCTCTAACTCTCTACTACGTGTTCTCCCCTTAAAGATGATCTTTGCTTGAAATGTGACCCTTTAACTTTGTGCAAGGTTTTGGCCATCTGCCATCATATGACCATACAAGATTGGCGTCTATTTTTGATTACATTGTAGATGCTGTGTAAAATTATGTTTGGAATATGGATGTCACTGCAATGCCAGTATTTATTGACCATTCCTAAAGGTCCTTGAGAAGATGCTGGGGAACTGTCGCAGTCTTTGTGATGAAGGTAGTGACAATGCCAGCAATGATGAAGCAGTTGAGATTCGCTGAAGTCCAATGGTTTGTGACTTTGGAAGGTGATGGTGTTCCTGTAAACTCCGTGCCTTTGTCCTTTGCGGTGGGAGAGGTTGTAGGTTTGTTGGGTGCTGTTGAAGAATCCTTGGCAGTCTGCTGCCATCTCAAACCGGCAGAGAGAGCAAATGCTGAAGCTGGAGGAGAGGGTGCTGATGAAGTGAACTGCTTTGATCCAGATGGTACAAATTACTTGAGTATTGTCGGAGCTGCACTCATCCAGGCACATAGGAAGTATTCTTTCACATGATGAACTTATGTCTTATAGCGGACTGACTCTGGAGATTCCCGCTCCCAAGAGAATACCTGTATGAGGAGAAACGTTGACCAAGGCCTATATATAGGGAGTCCCCATATTCATTGGAAATGTCTTTGCCAAGTCAGTCTGCTACAGATATTGCTGGAGTTCCCATGGGGTTGAAGATGGATTACAGACTCTCTAATCGCTATTCATGTGCATTCTAAAATTGGCAAATCTGGAAGCATTCAGGTCAGGGAGTGAAGTAAACAGGAGTAAAGGTTTCTGGTTGTTCTTAGAGTCATAGAGATATACAACATGGAAACACACCCTTCAGTCCAACTTGTCTGTGTCAACCAGATAGCCTAAGTAAATCTAGTCCCGTTTGCCAGTATTTAGTCCATATCCCTCAATCCTCCCTATTCATCTACCCATCCAGATGTCTTTTAAATGTGTAATTGTACCAGCGTCCATCACTTCCTGTGACAGCTAATTTCATAAATGCACCACCCTCTGCGTGAAAAAGTTGCCCCTTAGGTCCTTTTTAAATCATTTCCCTCTCATCTTAAACCTCTGCCCTCTAGTTTTGGACTCCCCCATCCCAGGGAAGAAGGCCTTGCCGATTTAGTCTATGCATGCTCCTCATGATTTTATAAACCTCTGTAAGGTCACCCCTCAGTCTCCAACACTCTAGAGAAAATAGCCCCAGTCTATTCAGCCTCTCCCTACAGCTCAAACCCTCCAACCCTGGCAACATCCTTGTAAATCTTTTCTGAACTCTTTTTGAAGTTTCACAACATCCTTCCTATAGCAGGGAAACCAGAATTACATGCAGTGTTCCAATTGTTGCCTAACCAAGGTCCTTTATAGTCGCAACATGACCTCCCAACTCCTGTACTCAAAGCACTGACCATTAAAGGCAAGTGTACCAAACGCCTTCTGCACGATTGTTTCTACTTTCGAGGAACTGTGTACCTGCACTCTAAGGTCTTTTTGTTCAGCAACACTGTCCAGGACCTCCTCTTTCATTAGAACATGGTGATCACATGATCAAGCACAAGGATGGACACAAAGCAATGAAAGTACTGTTCTTTGGAGCAATTGTATCCTTCACACCGTTTAATAAAAGCTGTGAGCCTAATCCTTACAAAATGTTACCGTGTGGTCACCATTGTGGTAGGATACATTGTTGCCCTTTGACCGGCTAATTCTTGTTCCTGGTGTACAACCTTCCCCTGCTCCAGCTTCGTTCTGTTGAATTGCAGTCTGTTTACTTGCTGCAATGTCTCGAGGATGCTGTGCTGATGTTTGCTGCAGTGAGATTTGACTTGATAATGATACATCATTGCCTAAGATGCACGGTTGCCCAACTAAACTCCTTCTGCTTTACACACACACACACACACACACACACGTGCGTACACATACACAAAGAAATGTGTCAAAAACCCACCCTCATTGCTGTCTTCCGAGTCTTGCTTCCTGCATGTTCCTCAATTTTTGTTGTTGCATTGTTGCTGATCATGGCTTTAGCTATTTTTGCCATGCCTTGAAATCTCCCCCACATTCTCAGCATCTTTCCCTCTCAATTTTTCCTCATTTCAAGAGGTTCCTTAAAGATTACCTCTTTAAACAGGTTTGAGTCACCTTCCCTAATATGCCCTTCCTTGCTCAGGGTCAGGTTTTATCTAAACACCGCTTTGGTAGCATACTGAGTAACATATAGTTTATGTTAGATGTACTATTTGCATAGAGGTTTAGTGCCTACCACAATTGCGTTGGATATTGCTGCTGAACTTTTGACTGTTGGGGAGTTGTAGCAGATGGCAGGGATTTCGAGGTGGAGGAGGGTTATCAGGATAATTGACGACTTGAATCTCCTAAACCCGTGCTTTATTTTCCCTCTCCAGGCTGGTCGGGAGGTCAATGCTGTCCAAGTTTTCCAGCGCATGTTTTACTGGAATCACCGTGGGACAGCTCGTTCATTTTCAGTAAGTGAGCAGCAGTTCTTGCTATCTTTTCTCTACTTTCTGCACTTAATTAACTTTAATACTGCTCCTTCCTCTGCATTAATTGCGCATCTCTTTCTCTCTTTCTCTTTCCATTGCTATTTTTACCTTCTGCTTAGATGTTAATGACTCTACAGGATTCTGATGTCTTGACAAGGGTAAGCTCTAAACGCCTGAAGCTTCGTTTCCAGTTGCACCAGAGAACCCGGAAATCTTCAGGCATTAACGAAAGAAATTCCTAGTTGTGCCGTGTATCCCGATTTGTGGAAACTCCACTGTTAAAGGGAAAGTGCGTTTGAGAAATCTGTTTGAGCTCTTTGAGGGTAGCAGGTTATGTGCCGTGGATGCATTACGTTTGGGTTTTCAAAAGGCATTTTTCAGATAACCACACAAAAAGTTGTCGAACAGAATTAGGACTCATGGGTTTGGGCTAATACGGACAGAAAGCAGTGAATACATGCATCATTTTCTGATTAGTAGACTGTTGCGAGCCTGTCCCAATGGCTAGTCTTCTTGGCATGGTGGAAAAATCTTGTGTGTGCCAATGAACCCGATAGTTTTCCCATCCCTTGGTCCTGAAAGGCCTGGCACATAGCAGCAAGGCCAGGCAGTAGTGTGAGGGTGCGGTCAAAAATGAACCTAGAGACAGACAACGTGAAGGAAAACTATGTGTCTTTTCAGTTGCGAGGTGGATAAGGCTGCCAGGATAAGGTGCTCCTGGTCATCATATTTCAACATGTCACTAAAACCCAACCACCATCCCATCACCTCAGGATTGTGTGAACAATGACAGCACTCATGATCCTCCTGTTAAGTAAAACCATGTGCATGCTTCTAACAGGGCACATTACCACATCCTGCGATGATGGGGAATTGGCAACAGGGACAGAATTATGAAACTGGGGGTCCTTGGCCAAGGACCTGCACACATGCGACAGATATACAGCGATCATTGGTCACTTGGGTTGGGGTGGAGGTCTTTGGGCTAGTAACTGAGCAATCGTCTTCAGGATGCCCACTGCTCACCTAAAATAGGAAATAGGCTAGAAAAACAGTCTTAAAAAAAACTTTAAAAATTAATTTGTGGCATGTGGATGTCACAGGCCAGGCCAGCTTTTATTGCCTATCCGTAATTGTCCAGAGGACAACTACATTCATGTGGATCTGAACTTATATGAAGTCAGACTGGGTAAGGATGGCAGATTTCTTTTTATATTTGTGAAGCAGATGGGCTTTTAAGACAATCTAATAATCATGGTCTCCATAATGCTCAATCTTCATTGAGTTCAAATTTCACATTTAGCATGTCGGCTTTGATCTCAAGACCCCAGAACATTAACCTGGGGTTCTAGATTACTGATCCAGTGACATTGTGACTATGCCACCACTTCCCCACGGTTCCACTTCTTCCTGGCTGTGGCAGCATCAACTTTATAGTTAAAGGAAGAAAACTTTAAATTTTACAACTTGCGATGTCAGAACATATATGAGTGACCTCAGAAGAGACAGTTCAAAAATCTGCAGTCATATCATGTGACCTGCTGAGATTGTAAATTAATATTGATGCTGTCAGTGAGACCTGCCTTGTTGGAGAGGATAAGCTGGGGGAGAGAACCGCTAGAAAGGAACGACTGTCAATGACTCTCCTATCCACAAAGGTTGTTTTGCCAATGGAATAGGATCAGAATTCCCCAAATGTGTAAATGAAAGACACTTCACTTCCAGTTCTGCTGTAATGGGTATGCCACACTTGAACTGATGAAGATGTTGTGGAAAAGTTCCATGTTGACCTTGAAGGCCTTACATTCATCCCAAGGAAAGGGGATAAGACTCATTCTTCTGGGAGATTCTAATGCCAGGGTTGATTGTGACTCCAGTGTCTGGAGTGAAATCGCTGGAACAAACAGAGTGGGAATGACGATCTGCTGCTTACAAATTGCACTTAGTGTGATCTCATTATAACAAACACTGTCTTCAGACAAAAAGGTTAATGCAAAACCGTGTGGAGCCATCCTGGATCATACATGAGATCAAATTGCTGCAAAACAAGACATGCTATTGGAGTGCTGTGTCTTGCACTCGTCAGGACAGACGCATGAATGCCAGATTTCAAAGGGGACGGCAGTTTATACTGTTTGGGAAAGGGTGCTGAGTGTTGGCAAGTTGACTCCTGATTGGTCATGACATTGTCATCGTAATTCCACCAGAAAACTCCTCTGCCAGACTTGTTTTAATTCAAAAAAGACATAGTGCGTGGACATGCTTCTTTGTCCTGCACATGACAGGCCCCTTGCACGAATACATATAGCTTCTAACAAATATAAATGAACCAGAATGGTAATTGTAAGTTGGTTGTTAGTGTAACTCTTAGCATAGTCAGGATTGTTCAGTAAATGCTGTTCAATGTGAAATCACATCTAATGTTGGCTGTTCTCCTCTGAGATTTGCTAGCATAGACTGGTTAAATACAGTCAGTTCTTTGCCACTTGTAAATAGCCAAAGGGAAGTGCTGTTTGATATTATCCATTTGGACAAATGCCATTACATAGTTGGCGTCACACCGGCACTGGAACCTACATATCACATTCCTCATTTATATAGTGGTCAGAATATCTTCTTTGCTTGACAGCAGCATCCTGTTACTGGAATGTAGCGCCCGTGTTGCTGTTGCAGAGTAACCAAATGAAACAACTATTTTGACCAGTTTCTCAGAAGTGTCCAGGTATTGTGCCTTTTTGAATTAAACAAACGGCACGCAGTTCAATACTGCATTTCCAAGACCACACCTCAACCAATCAAATCGACTTGCCAACCAATCAGCATCTTTTTCTCATGCAGTATAAATTGTTGTTCCCTTTGAAATTTGTTTTTTTGCACCTGTCCTGATAAGTGCAAGATGAAAAAGTTTGAATTTAAAGATTATAGCATTGTTCAGGTCAAAGACTGAAGTGAGATGTATATCCCTTGATCCAATAGTTGTCGACGCCTGTATGACAGATTATCAACTTGTTCGTTTGGTGATGGGGATCCATTTTAGCACGAAGGTCTAAAGGAAGATAATCAATGTCTTAGGCCTAACATGACCTTACTGAAGAGAGGAGTTCCAAGTGCAACCACCAGGCAATCATAAAAAAAAATTGGCACATTCACCTCTATTCCAGAACAGTGAGATCAAAGAAAGTCAACTATATGAGACTTGTAAGCCCAGTCCAAAATTTGAACGTTGTTGTCACTAGGATTGGTTCAATGAAAATGATACAATTTCTTGACTGAAAGGAGCAGTTTTCCTGGCCTGGCAGATCCACCTGTGGGGATAAGTCAACAAGGCAGCTCAAGACCGATGTCCAGAGACAGTTCTGGCAGATGAAGGATGTGGTGGGAACCAGGGCTGAAGTCAAATGGAACAAAATCTTCTTTGTTCATACATTTGTACATCTCTTAAGGATGATGATCTTATCCGTCAACACAGGAGTAACCTTTTCCACAACCTGTCAACTGTAAATCCAATGTGGTGGCTGATACTGTCTTGCTATTCCGCAGTGCTCAGTGCTAGAATCAATTGGTGAGCCACCACTGACAGTAAAACTGCAACAAGCAGTCAAAAGGATGAACAACATTTCAGCCCCAGTGGTATTCCAGCTGAGCTTTGCACAGCTCCTGAGATAATGCTCAGACTAAGACCCCTGTGCACTCGCCCTGCAGATTTGGCAGGTTAAGATGCAGCTGCCTAACTTCAGGAATGGATCCATTGTAATTATCGTCATGAAAGGAGATCAATCAAGATATGTAAACTATCAAGGCACGTCCCTCTCCTAGACCAGGGAAAATCCTGACGCTATTTTTTCTGTATCACTCACTTCTTGAGGCTGAGGGAAACCTCCCAGAAACTGCGTGGCCATAGACCTTCCAGAGAAGCCTCCTTTGCTGTCTTTTGTTGCCAGACAAATCCATGAAAAATGGCGAGGACAGCACCATGTACTGTTTGTTAAATTCATCGACATGACCAAAGCATTTGACTCCATAGATCCAGAAACTTCTTCACAATCCTGCGCCCACTTGATGATGATATGGCTGCAAGTGAAATCTGAAAAGACCTCTTCACAATCTTGACTGTTGTCAAGCCAGGCTGTGTAATAGCCCCCTTACAATTTACACTTTCTACTTGACAGTGGCTGTTCATCACAGAAAAGATCAACTGCCTTCTGCTGTCAATATTGATGGAAATCTCTTTTACATCAATCACCTCTGTGCCCAAACCAATCACTACAGATCCCCATGATCTCCTATTTGTAGTGTTATTGTGCATTCAACATCTGATTTGTAAATCACTTGCATCTCTTCAGTTCTCCATATCAGAACTCGGCCTGTTCTTAAACGTTGCCAAAGCGAAAGCCCTATCCATCTGTTGTCGGCCTAATATTCTTCCTCCCATCTAATATATTGATGGAGAGACCCTGTAATATTTTGAGCACTTCCCACATCTTGAAAGCTACCTCTTGTGAAGGGCCACCATGGGGATCTGACAGCGGATTAGCTACACCACCTCCCCCTCAGTTCAGCCACCTTACAAAGTAAAGCAGTGAGTGTTTGACAACGAGGACCACAGCAAGTCAACAGAAGTCCAAATGTACACAGCAGTTGTCATCACCACACTCCTGCACTGTACTGAGACTTGGACTGTGTATCAGTGACACAGTGTGCTGGAGAAAATCCATCGTTAGTGCCTCTGCCACATGCTTTGATTGACTGGACCCTGTGTCCAGGTGGCAGGAAAACATCTCCTCAATTCAGTCCTGTTCTGTCAACTTTCAAACGGCAAAGAAATGCTACCAAAACACTCTGGAGCCCTCCAACGGCAGCAGCATTGAGATCGTGACTGGGAGCAGTTTGCTACCAGTTGTTCAAGTTGATAACAAGCTGTGTTATGCTTCGAGTCCAAAAGCCTCAGTGGTTAGCACTGCTGCTCACAGCACCAGGGACCCAGGTTCGATTCTATCCTCGGGTGACTGTCTGTATGGAGTTTGCACGTTCTCCCCATGTCTGCATGGGTTTCCTCCAGGTGCTCCGGTTTCCTCCCACAGTCCAAAGATATGTAGGCTAGGTGGATTGGCCATGCTAAATTGCCCCATAGTGTTCAGGGATGTGTAGATTAGGTGGGTTATAGGGGGATGGATCTGGGTAGGATGCTCTGAGGGTCAGCGTGGACTTGTTGGGCCGAAGGGCCTGTTTCCACGCTGTATGGATTCTATGATTCTATGAGGTAGAAGGAAACAAAAGGGGGGAAGCGCTACACTCTGAATCTCGGTATCTTGTGGGACATCATACCCTGTGTACCCAAGATCTGCATGTTGAGAATTGGCCTGTTCTATCATGAGACTCATGGCAGAAACTCTCGACTCTGAGCAAATGTCAAAGGACAGCCTTTGATTCTGTCTCATGGATGTCACAATGATCATTGCTGAACCTTGTTATTCACAATCTTTTGATCTGATGATTATTACAATCTAATGACTTAGCTAATGGATTTGGGTCCCAATGTATCCAAGTTTACTGATATTATAAACTTTGGTGGGAAGGTCAGCTATGAAATAGACCTAGAGGGATCTGGCTAAATTCAGTAAGTGAGCAAGAAGATGGCGAATGGAGTAAAATGAGGAGGAATCTTAAATTATTCACTCTGATGGGAAGCATAGAAAAGCAGAATTTTAAATGGTGAAAAACTATTAAAAGTTGGTGTTTAGAATGATTTGGTTGTCCTTCCACTGCAGGAGCAGCAAACAATCAGGAAGGTAAGTTGTAAGTTGACCTTCATAGTGAGGGATTGAAGTACGAGCAGAGAGGTTCTCCCAAAATTGTGCAGATCATTGCACTAGGATATACTCTCACTTGTGTTCATATCCTCTTTCTTTCAATTGTACTTTTGCCCTTACTTTTATGCACAAATGTGCTATCTTTGTTGTGTGCACTTTTACATGCTCCCCCTCTCACTTTCTCATTCTGTTTCTTTCTTTCTCACACACATGCTGCTGCTTTCCCTTTCCCTCCCTTGTTCTCTATGGCTGTCTTTCTCTAGCTGTCTCACTCCTGTTCTGTCTTGCCTTCTCGTTCTGCTGCTCTCTGACCCTCCCCTCTGTCTCTCTCTCTCTGATGCTTCTCTCTGTCCCCCCTCTCTTATTCCTACTATCTCTCATATCCCTGCTCTCTCTCTCTCTCTCTCTCTCTCTCTCTCTCTCTCATGCCTACACGTGCTCGCGCTCTCTCTCTCTCTCTCACTCACACACCCCTGCTGTTTCTCTCCTGCTCTCTTTTTCTCCTCCTCTCTCTTGTTCTCTGTGGTGCCCTTTTTCTGGCTGTCCTCCTGCTGTTCTGTCTTGCTTTCTCATTCTCCTGCTCTCTGATGTTTCTGCCCCCTCTCCCTACCTCTCTGTCTCCCCACTAGCCCCCCCCTTGCCCCCAATCCACTCCTGTTTTTGTCATTTGGGTTGTTTGTATTTCCTGGTTCATTTCAACTGTCAGAAGTTGTCTATTTCTCGGCTTCTATCAGCATTTTTTGTTGATTCCCAGGTTCAGCGGCTGGTGATTCCTCCTCTTGAGAGAAGCAATGCAAGGGTTTATGAAAGTCGTACCGATTGGTTTAAGCAGCAGATAATAAAGGTACAGTTTCCAAGCTGCTGTTTTTCAGTTGTTGGAAGAAAAAAAAATGCATTTTGACCATGCCTTTCATGTTCTTAGTATAGTCGTTGTGATGCTGCACCCAGTTTGTGCACAGCAATCTCCCACAAACAGCAACATGATAATGACCTGATCATTTATATTAGTTATGTCGGTTGAACCTTAAATGTTGGCCAGAATATCAGGAAAACTTAAAGAGACAATTGTCAAGGAAAAAATTAATTCTTAATTGTAGAGGGATGGGTTAATAAGATCTCTGCAGCATAGATTTGTGAAAGGAAAACTGGTGATGGAGTCATTTGAAGAAAAAGAGAGGATTGGTGGACATAGAGCAATAGATGTTGTTCGTAACAAGGTCTTCCAAAAAGAATTTGATCAGATATCCTGGATAACAGATTTATGTGGGAAGTCATGCAATTTGGGGGATACAGACAGTTCAGGTGTGCAGTTGGTTAAGAGGTAGGAGATAGGGCGGCATGTTGGCTCAGTGGTTAGCACTGCTGCCTCACAGCGCCAGGGACCCAGGTTCGATTCCAGCCTCAGGCGACTGTGTGGAGTTTGCACATTCTCCCTGTGTCTGTGTGGGTTTCCTCTGGGTGCTCTGGTTTCCTCCCACAGTCCAACGATGTGCAGGTTGGGTGGATTGGCCGTGCTAAATTGCCCACAGTGTTCAGGGATGTGCAGAATAGGTGGGTTAGCCATGGGAATTTAGGGTTACAGGGATAAGGTAGGGGAGTGGATCTGGGTGGGATGTTCTTCAGAGGATCAGTGTGGACTTGATGAACAGAATGGCCTGCTTTCACACTAAGGATTCTCTCGTTCAGTGGTGATCAAATGTTGTCCAGACCGGAGGGACGTGGTGCAATGGGCTCTCCCAGAGACTGTTGTTTTCCTTGTGTATAAATGACCTGCAGTTGGGTAAATTAGAATGTCTGTGGAAGATACAAAACTGGGTAACGTAAATAATGAATAGAATAGTTGCAGTCGTGGACCAGTTGCTGAAATATACAGCTACCCAATACGTAATTTAATTTGGGCAAGTGGGAATATAATTTCCCAGAGAGAATCAACCAGGATCATGGACAGCAACCAGATAGTCCCGTAGAGATCTATTCTAGACTGCAATGTGGAGGGCTATAGTGAGATAATAATGTCCCAAAACGGATGAACCAGGATGGCACTAAATGAATGAGGGTGGCGCCATCACAGCAGATACTCTGACAGAAGCAGCAGTTGAAGCAGAAATTGCAGAGGGATGTGGGGCTGAAGGTAGCTGGGCAAGTTGACAGTGTAGCTGGGAAAGTATGTGAGATCCTAGGCTTTGTTCATATGATAGTGAATACTAGAGCAAGGGGTTTAGACCATACTTTGAGAAAATCTCTAGCTTGGCCTTAGCTGGAGTATTATGTCCAAATCTGCACATTCTACCTTCAGGAATGATGTGGAGAGGGTGGTGAGGAGGTTTGTCAGGGCTGATTAACTTCAGATATATGGAGGGACAGGAGAAGCTAGAATTACTCTTATAGCAGAGAATGTGAAGGAGAGACCTAATGACTTGTTAAGGGATTTTGAAAGAGCAAGAAGGGAGAACCAGTTTCACCTGGCAAGTGGATATCTAGAGATCACGGATGTAAAGCTGACGAAAGAATCGGTGTGAAAATATAGAGGAGAAGACCTTATGGTACTGAGGGGGTGGGGGGGATCCACAGCACATCTCTTCAGCCCTACATTTCACTATCAGTATTCACTCCTTCCTGTCTGTTAATTGCCTCTTCATAGAATCATAAAATCCCAGGCCATTCGGCCCATTGGGTCACACTAGCTCTCCAAAGAGCATCCCACCCAGACCCTATCCCTGTAACCCTGCATTTCCCACGGCTAATCCACCTAACTAGCACATACCTGGATACTATGGGCAATTTAGCACGGCCAATCCACCCTAACTTGCATATCTTTGGACTTTGGGAGGAAACTGGAGCACTCGAGGAAACCCACGCGAACATGGGGAGAATGTGCAAACTCCACACAAGACAGTTGCTTAAGGGTGGAATCGAGCCCGGGTTCCTCTTGTTTTAGGTAAAACATCTACTTCCTGAAGCTTGTGGATGGCATCAGCACAGACTGGAAGGTGGTGTTAACAGTCCTGTTCTTATTTTCAGGGATTGGATCCCATCAGGAAGATTCTTGCCGAAAAACTGCGCACCACATCGATTACTCTCTCCATCATCTTCTTCAGCATCTCATTTGGGTGAGTTGGTCTGACACCAGACCCCTTAGCAAACTGGGCTGTGAGTTTCCTGCTATCCATTTCAAAAGCTGTCCATTTACGCTGGGGGCCAGGTCTGTGGATGTGGTTTCCTTGGGCCATCCCCAGGTTGGTGAGATTAAACAGTTTATGTGGTCAGGCTGTTATCTGGTAAAGCATCGGTTACCAATATTGACCTTCACCCTGCCTGATGCCTATGTGTGCATGTACTGTCGGGATGCCTTGAGGAGCATGGAGGCAAAGAGGTCATTCAGCTCCTCTACCTGCCCACTCCCCACATCGTTGATTCTCTGAGATACCAACAATCTGTCAAATGGCCTCTTAATATAAATTCCTCGAAGAGCAGGTGCATTGTTGGCAATGTCCTGGGTGATATTTTCATCTGAACCATCATCGCTGAAGCAATGACCTGCTCATTTTCACATTGCTGTTTATGGGAGTTTGCTGCATACAGGTTGGCTGACACATTTCCTAGATTGTAATAGTAACTACGCTTCATGAAGTGCTTCCTTGACCGTAAAGTTACGTCATGATAGTTACGTCATATATAAATCCAAGTCTGTTAATGTTGACATCTGGGTCACTAGTTCACTGTCTTCTCTTGTCCACCTCTTCCAGGTATTATGGTCTGTGGATGTGGTTTCCCGAGCTTCTAAAACGGATCGAGACCGGAGGTGGTTCTGCATGCTCGAGTAATTGGAACAGCTCCGGTGAAAAAAGTGTGGAGAATGTCACCTGTTATCCAGTGAAGACAGTGGGTGAGTGTCACCTTGAGTCTGATTCTGTCATTCTGGTGTGCAACTAGGCCAATTGGGAGGAAAAATTTGATCCTTTTCCAACTAAAAGAAAAAGTTCATTTCATTTGTCCACCCATTTCAGCTGGGAGTGACTCAGCTTTTCGTGTTTTGAGTTTTCATTTCTGAGATAGTGCAAGTTCAGTTGAGATAATCTCTGGCTGAATATTAGACAAGGTTACTCCCAGTGTCTCGTACAGAGTTTGAATAAACCAGGGGTTAATTTACAATAAACATGTGGGAAACTAGAATCATAGAGGTCTACAGCATGGAAGCAGGCCTTTTGGCCCAACTTGCCCATGCCACCAGTTTTCACAATTAAACTAATCCCATTTGCCTGCATTTTGTCCATACCCCTCCATACCTATCCCATTCACTTGTGGACTGAGAAATTCATTTGGGACTTTTAGCAGTTCCTGAGTTGGAGTTCTCACCGTGCTTTGCGCATGTTCATCGATCGAGGATCAGAAACCTTCTAACAGTGGAAAACATATGTTCCCAGTAAACTCTCCCTGTGGATTGTGCTGTCTTGTCCTTGAATGGCTCTTCCCTCATGCTGTATCTTCACTGCAGAGGTCAGACCTAATGACATATCTGCAATAGTATGATTACTATTTCACAATCTGTTCCTGCAATGCACACTATTTTCTAACTAACTTGTTCAGAGATGTTATTACACTCCCCTGGAGCAGTGGGACTTGGACCTGAGTCTGACTGAAAGGTAGGAACTTTACCACTGTGCCACAAGAACCCTCTTTTGGGACACTATTGTTAATGCCTGTTTAAGCACTTTGTAAAATTTGTTAATATTTTTATTTAAATTCAAGAAGAAACAGCTGGTGTCTGTTAACTGTCTGAGCACATATGTGTGGGCAGCACCTGCAGCACTGATGTGTGGAAGGAGCTGTAAGACTGGCTAGTCAATAAACTCATCCACAAAGAAAGGTCATCTGTTCTTTTGTCTCACTCGTTTGCTGGGATCCAATTTGACAAGTAAACGACCACAAAATGTAGGGGCAGAAATAGAACACTTGGTCCATTGAGTCATCACGACTAATCTGATCATCCTTGACTCCACATACCTGCCTTATCCTCAAAACCCTTGATTCACTTATGATTTAAATATATTCAGGGCTGAGATAGATGGACTACTAATGACACAGTTTTGACAATGCTCTACAATAAGAAATTCAACAGATTCACCACCCTCTCAAAGAAGAAATTACTCCTCTGTCCTAACTGGGCGATCCCTTACTCTGAGAATTTGACCTCTGGTCCTAGAACCTCTTGCAAGGAGAAACAACTTTTTCGCAACTATTGTAAGTTCCCTAAGAATCTCATGTTTCAATAAGATTGACTGTCCAATGAATACAAGAAAACCTACTCAACCTCTCCTCAAGAAAGTTTCCCCTTACCTGGAATCAACCTACTAAGTAATTTGAGACATGACAAAGTAAGTGTCTCATGGGAGCAGTAAGTGACTTCGAATCCTACAATTCCCAAAGCTTTTCACTGGGATTCTCCTTATGTTGTGCCTGATCCTATTGTAGACTGATTGATAGATACATTAGTCAACAATCCCACTCTTGCAGTATCAGTTATGACAGTGATTGGATGTGGTGAGCAAGATGGACCTTTGGCCTTTATCTATCTCGTAATTCCGATGTTTAGGTTATATCAGGCATCAGTTGCATTGTATAGCTAACATCACCACTCTGACTCAGACTGTCAGGACTCAGATCAGTCAAGAAACTTTCATACCCTCCTCGCTTCAGATATTTATCAGGAATTTGTCTTGCAGTTTATATTTACACTCCATACTTTTCATCCTCCTTATCCCTTCCTGTTGGCTGTCCAGGTAATAACCCATTTCTGAAGAAGGGTCTAGGCCCGAAACGTTAGCTTTCCTGCTCCTCTGCTGCTTGGCCTGCTGTGTTCATCCAGCTCTACACCTTGTTATCTCAGATTCTCCAGCATCTGCAGTTCCTACTATCTCTGAAACCATTTTAACCCCACTGCGAAGCCTCTTCTAAGGATGCCTACCTTGAAGAAGTTACCCCCATTTCTGAAGAAGGGTTTAGGCCCGAAACGTCAGCTTTCCTGCTCCTCTGATGCTGGTTGGCCTGCTGTGTTCATCCAGCTCTACACCTTGTTATCTCAGATAATAACTGAGCTTGGGTAGGGTTTTTGTGTTGTAAATGTTTCATGGAGTATTAGAGTCAGCTCCTGAGGCCTTTGGGAAGGATCAGGTTTTTCCTAGTGAGAAATAACAACTTTGTCAACTGAAGCAAATAGACACCGTTCATTCAAACTATCTCAGTTTCTTTTTCATTACGTTCCTCCTTATTTTTTTTTTGAGTCACCTCTGTAAGAAATCAGCTGACTGTCATTCCCTGAAACTCTTGTGTGCCTCATAGCGCTTCTGCCACCCAGCCTGACTATGGGTAACGCAAGATCAGTGGATAGAAGGCAAAAGTGGAAGAACAGGGTCACTTCCATGGTACTACGTAATTATTGGAGACTTTGGTCTACACTGCTATTTACACTTCTCTTTTACCCCTCCTCATTCTAAGGCAGACCCTCAATATGAGGATGACATTCCCTAACTCAAGAGTTAGGGGTTGTGAGGTGACTCCACAGTCCCTGCCGCAGGCGAGGCTGATGGTATTTGAAGAGGTGGGTATGTGCAATGCTCAAGTTGCCACACAGTCCTTTGCTGTTGTGCTTTGCCTCCACTGGGACCTATCGGAGATGGCTGCCGCCTTTGGTCTTGAGCAGGATATTCCCACCACCTTACCAGTTTGTCCGTTACTGTTCCACCATGCTCTAACCAAATAGTATGTATTCTTTGTGGGGCTGATTGATGTCTTGTTCCTTTATGCATTAGTCCCTGTCACATGTAATGCATTTACTCACACAACCTTTGGAATAACCAGCATTTTTTAAAAAAATGCCATCCTCAGGATCTTTTACATATGGAGCTGTGCTGTTAATTTTGATCACTTGCACATACTCTCTTCCCCTGCTTCATTCTGGTTTGATTTTTAAAAGTGATTTGTTTCTTTTGTTTTGCAGTGTACAAAGAAGGTTTTATAATTGCTGCTGCCAATCTCCCTGGTAATATCTTCAGTATCTTACTGATGGATCTACTCGGAGGCAAATTTCTACTCTGTGAGTACCAACCAGGAAGAACTTCAGAAGGCAAATGGAACAGAGAGATAGCCCAGTGTGAGGAACTGTTTATAATTCAGAGTAGTATTAAGTGTCCATAAAGAATATCTGCTCTGGTTTAGCACCTTCCACATTCCTGGCATATTACCATGGCCGGTGAATCACATATGTAATGCAGTCACTGTTGTTTCGCAAACTTTGCCCAGAAAACTACCAGATTGTTGTATCAGAAAAGCTATCTGGTTCACTCATGTCCTCTAAGAAATCTGCTTTGGAGGGAAGTCTGAAGAAAAAGTCACTAGACTCAAAATATCAACGCTGCTTTCTCTCCACAGATGCAGCCAAATCTGCTGTCCTTATCTGATCTGGTCTACTTACTTCTATTAGAAGCAACTTTCTCCTCCACTCATCTTGTGATTAGTAGGCTAAGAACTGCAAGAGTTGACCTTGCTATTATGATGGCGATTGAAAAATGGGGCTAGCGACAGACTTGGAACTTAGTACCAGAATTAGTGCCTCAGAAGGAAGTGAGCAAATAGCCAGGGTCCCACACTGTTTCCTGAACCTACTGCGGGAATGTGGGTGCCCACCCTAGGTAATGTTTTAGTTTGTTATACACTTCATTCCATTGGAATTCAAAACCCCACAGCCCTCATGGAACAGAACTTCCTACTTGGGGTTTAGTCAAGGAATGGATGGATTGGTTTAATAGGGACTGGATGGTCAGACAATTCCTGAACTACTCCACCGCACCCCCCCCCGCCCCCCCGTTCATATATACTTCCACTGGACAATTGACTAAAAGGCTAGAGGAAGTGCGCAAAGTGAGCAAGATCATCAGCAGTACTAGTCCAAAAGAGGAACTTCATTGTAAGTATCAGCACAGTCTTGAAGAGACGAACCAGGGAGTAATATCCTTCCCTCTTTGATGATCTTTGCACTCTTAGAGGTTAAATGGACAGGATAGGGAAGAAAAAGGTTAGCAGATTAATTCTTTCACAGGACAGTGTTTGCTGCGTGTACCTGTTCCCATCGTGCATCATGAAAAACAGCCAATTAAATTGTTAGTTAACAGCTTTTACATTACTAGTGGTCTTGTACAACACAACCAGTAATATTGCAGTGATGTTATAGACTATGATTTGAAGAGTGGATGACTAGTTAACTTGGCAAGTTGGGTGGTGATTATTTCCTTATGATCTGACATTAGGTGCAAGTCTATTTCTCTCAGGAATCTGTGCATTTTTCATTTGGGAAGTGAAGACCAAAACACAGAGCTTGATAGTGTCCTGTGTGTTCAGTGCCATCTCGGTCGTTGCCTGGAACTCACTTGATGTCATTGGCTTAGAACTGTACCCCACTCACCTACGGTAAGTAAGTTACAATTTTAAAAATCAAGAGGGAGTCTGCTCCTTATTATTCCACCTCCTCAAACATTTGTCTGTTGTTCATTATAGAGATGAAATAGAAAGTGACTGCTTCAGTAATTTCAAGTATTTAGAGAACCATTGAACTGGGACAGTTTTTTTTATCAGAAACCTACTGATACATTCCTAGTTAAATTCATGTATTAGGATGAGTCGCATTTGAAATCAAAAGAGAGCTTGTCTCATGGTGATTGCACATTGATGGGCATTATGTTCTGGACTTAAGTTATGAGCTCTTCCTATTTAGTTTCTTGGGCCTGTTCTGATCTTCATCTTCGCCTCATAATTCTTTACTCTTAAATATCAATTGATAGGAGATTATTGAACATCTGGGAGGGAAGATTACATGACTGGTAACTGGTGGAAGACAGTATTATCATGGAAAATCAAGTTTTAGTTTAGGGCAGATATGAACCGTTGAGCACAAGTACAACCTAGTTTGAAGGATTGAAGAGACATTTTCATTCGTGTGCTAGTAATAAATTGTTTTTGAAGGTCCCAGATTCTTTAAAATAGCCTGCCAGGTTGAAAAATACTTCATTACACTTTCCATAAAGAAGTTCTTAGATTTAAACGTTTGTATTTTTCTATGATTTTAATCCAGACTAAAAGTAAATTTTTGTATCTCCTCTGAAAGCCCAACATGAACCAACTTTCCTGGTTGTACATTGCAACCATTTTCCATAGCTCCTATCCTTGCTTATATTCTTGGCATTCACGATAGCCTTATTATTAGTAAATAGAACTATATATGACAAGTTTATAGACAGGATGTTAAATATCTCAGTGCCCTTGCCACCAAATATTAACCTATTTATACAAGACTGAATGAAGTATTATAGCACAGAAGGAGGCCATTTGTTTCTTTGACAATGTACTAACTCTGCTATAATTACACTTGAAATTTTGGTTTAGAGTTTCAAGTTGGTCAGGTTTCAAAGTAGAACTATACAGCTGAAAAGTTTGTTTAAAAATTTAGAAAAAAACTCTCCAAGTAAAGGTACTAAAAACTAAAAAATTGTCTCTCAACAGGTCATCTGCACTTGGAGTTTTCACTGGTGTCAGCCGTATTGCCTCTATTTTGGCAAACCTGGTTTTTGGCCTGCTGGTTGACATGAACTGCGCTGTGACCATCCTTCTGGTCGCAGCAGTACTTTTCACCGGCAGTCTGGCATGTTTCAAATTGCCAAACACTAAGCACATTGAATTGAGTTGAGAAGAGAGTTGAAGTTACTGGAACATTCATCATTGGTGCCTTTACCCATCTGCTCCAATTAGTCCTTTGCTAGTGAACATGCCGGAATGAGATGCAATATGCTCAAAGAGGGAATATGGCCATTTTCATGAAGGGTAACTGCAAAGGAAGACCAACATTTTGAATGGAAACAAATTGTAGACTTGACAAACGTGGCAATATGATGTTTTTGCATGCACCTTAAAATAAGGGATCTTCTACGGATACTCAAAAAGCCCTGCTTGGAAGTAAATGCCAGGCAGGTTGTGTTTTCAAAACTTAAGTTTCAGGTTCAGATCACGAAACTTTGATCACTCCTTCCTAGGTTTGTACTTTGTTCTACTGTTGACCTCCCACCATAAGCAGGACGGTTCATGTCTCATTTAGTAACAGTGACGAGATAGGGAATAAAGACAAAAAAGTGTATCTGTTACTTTTGAAAAGTGTTAGTCTGGCTAAAGAATCAAATTTCCTGAAACAGGAGCAATCATGAACCCTTTGTTTAGACATCATTCATCTCACTAACAAGGCTAGCCCCACTGTGCAATATTTACATGTTTACAGAGTCCAAATGGCTTAGCAGTTCAGTTTCAAAAGGGGCAAATACCGAAATTGAATATCGTTAATATTGAGCAATAAAGTGATAATCATAAATTTGCACAATGATACATAGACACACTAATGGAGAGTTGTGACACAAGGCAGTCTTATTTCTAAAGCTCTGCTGGATTGCTCAATTTGCATTATCTATTGCTAACAATTCCTGGATTGCTGAGCTACTAAGGCATTGTTTAAGCAGCAGCCAAGTTTAGAATTAGTTTTCCAATCCCTCCTTTCTGATCTCTCTGCATCCCATGAGTGTCCCTACTTCATTTGCTCGATTACTGACAGCTGCAATCTCTCCTATCCTTTAAAAGGAATCCATTAAAAAGAAAACCTGGGACCAGGCTTTTGGTCATTTAACTTGAGGTAGTATCCCTACCTCTAGGCCAGACAATCCATTTCAAATCTACCTGCCCTGCAGATGGGTAATAACCTGTCCAGTTTGATTAAAAAGAATTATGGTCACCTGACCAACTACTCCAAAACCTTAGTGACCAATATCTTGTGGCTGTTTTGTTCGATGTCTTTATAAATGCACCTTTAATAGATGTTAATTGAAAAGTACTGCATATAGTGCCTGTTATGGACCAGACCAGATCTCAAAAATATTTTGTTAGCCTAGACCCTAACTTTTTCTTATATTAAAGGCAAATGTAAAGCAGTGTTCCAGATGCAATTCGACTGGTCAAACTACAACATTAAGCAAATTAATTTATTCAAACACTATAATTAACACAGCGAAAGAAGGAAGAACTTAGAATAATCAGTAACTATTACTAATTAATGGTTCCAATATAATAACATCCCATAAGCACCCTTGACAAAGGCAAATTCAGAAAACAGATTTTCTCACATGCAAAGCCCACAGTAGGAAGAGAAATCTCAGCTTCTAGCTATAACCGGCAGTGGGGGAAGAAATAGGTTCCACTTCAAGACAGCAGCAGCTTCTGCCAAATCTAAACGCTTAAAAAAAAAGAAATCCTGGTCTAGGAGGCTTGGCCATACCTATCCAGGCTGCTTCTACTGTTCCAACTTTTAAAAAACCTCAAGGGCTCAAGCTGTTTACGTTATTATGGACTGCTCGCCACCTCTTCTTCAATTTCTCAAAGCCACAGCATCATCATAGTGTCAAGTACCATATTTTCAAGAGGGAAAATGCACTTGCATAAATGTTGAAATATTCACAGGATACCAAACCAGGGTTGTTATACTTAGAATCTCAACCTAGTGCTTCCTGCTGAAGGGAGGGTGCAACCCAGGATAGGCCACTTGGTACCTCAACCTGTTCTGTTAAATCAGTAAGACTGTGGCCAACCGAGTTATAGGATCAACTCTACTTTCTAACCTGCACCCCAAACCCCTTGATTCTCTGGTAAGCCAACAAGCTGTCTAATTCTCCCCTCAGCAATCAACACCTCTCAGAAGAAACACCATCCTGGTTTCAAGTTGGAAAGGCCTTTTTAAAATTGTGCCCACAGTTCTAAATTGCCATAGAAGGGGAGAAATTGGCAAAGGGGCTTTTGAAGGGATCAGTGCTGAAAGGCTACGTGCCATAAATATATAATAAAACAGGAAGTGATTTCCTTTGAACAAGGGAAAGAGCACATTTTACTTCAAATGCAGGATTGTACTACAATCGATTACTACTAAATCTAGTTGAATGTCATTGTGCAAAGCATTCACTAGAAGACTAAAGCTGATCAGAGTTTTTAAAAAAGGTAGTCGTTCATAGAAATAGTGCTGCTATGAGACTGTTGTTTATTTAGACTTGGTATTTGGTTTAGTTTAAAAAAAACAGATCCTGATTCTAATAATAATCAACCCTGGTATTTCTGTGTTGAAGAATCTATCACACACAATAAGCAACTAATGCTTTCCTTGAACTTTTCAAACATGTTTTACTCAAAAAAAAATGAGAATGGTATTGTGTCCAAATATATTGTCATTAACTGCAAAGTGAAAGAAACAGTGCCTTAATTCTTACCTTTTTGCTTAATCTACCTTGATTTTGTCTGACTCTAGAATTTGCAACATTCCAAGAATAAAAATCTTCCTCCCAATCCTTTTCTCAGATTTGTGTGTATAAAAGAGAATCAGAAGAGTGATTATGGACTGATCAGCAAATGATCTAACCCTCATTACCCTGTAAAGGACAAGAGGTCATGTGATGCAAGTTCAAGTCCACTTCAGGATGTGACCATAGAGATGTATGTCTGTCTCCAGGGTCAATTAAAAATTAAGCCTCATTGAACTGCTGGAATCCCAGCAACTCTCCCAGTGGTTGATAAAAATGGGAGTTGCTTACTGAACCAGTTCAGAGGGCAGCCAGGTGACAAATCACATTGTAGTGGTACAAGTCACCAGGAATCCTTACCTAAAAGGACATGGTTATTTCACAGATTAATATTTCCCAATTTTAGCTTTTTAAAACCTCAATTGCCATAGTGCATTTTGAACTGTGCCAGTAACATTTCTAGTTAAGCCTGTGAAACAATGACCCTTAGAACATTTATTGTCAGTAGAAACAAAGTCTACAAGAGTACTTGATCTTTAATACACTTGAGATTAGTTCTAGACAGGAAAATTGTGGACAGCAAGTATATTTAATGGATCCTAAATGGGCAGTTAGCCTAGCGTGGTGATCTCAGCAGCTTGTGATGGCAGTATTCTGCTGTCTCGCCCCTTCATCTACAATCTAGAAGGAAGCTGCCTTATACAGCTAAGCACTTTAACATGCTTTTAGGGCCTGGTATTTCACCCATCTCAGTCACACTTAGCTTTCCAACCATGACTAGAGGACCAGGAACCAAGATATCAGGATGGTCAGCTTTCATTGTTCATTACTTTAAAAGGTAACTTTTAACCTCATGCAGAGGGTTATTTACTAGCCTTTAGCAGACACTTGCAATCAAGGGGACAAGGAAAATACCATTCTACTGACTCAGGAATAGCAACAAGAAGCCTGAAAGCAGGAGGCTGACATTTTCCCGGAGTGCACAAACCACTGCTCTGCAGAGGTGGTAGCCTCATGCTGTGCCTACCAATTTCAAAAATGTATAATTTACTTATATACAAGAAACAACTTTTAGAATAACCCCTGTCCAGAATGTTTGTGACTATGTCAATACTGGATTTCAGGACATCTACCAGTAAACACACTAGCTATAGGATATGTTTTATCTGAAGTATATAAAATTGCATACAATTCTACAAACTTCCACTCCCAAAGTACTATGCTAAAACGCTGACATTGAAGTTTTAAGCAAGAAGATTTGTCAGTAAAGTCACTGTAGGGCTGCTGTCTCATTAGAGACACAACTGACAATTGTTTAATCTGCAAGTCATCACATCTCAAAACAAGGGGAGATGTTAACCCCATGTGGTTAGTGTTACTCTGCCTAGCAGACCAGTCAACTGGATAGGTTACACCTGAACCAGCAGGGGCCCAACATCCTTGCTGGGATGTTTGCTTGTGCTGTTGGAGGTTTAAACTAATTTGGCAGGTCTCCTAACACAGAGGGAGATAGAGGAGCAGATACATAGGCAAGTCAAGGGTCAAGGGGAATAGGGTTATTGTAGTAGGGGATCTCAACTATTCTAATATTAAACTGGAATGATATTAGTGTGCTAGGGTGGAATTTTAAAAATGCATCCAGAAGACTGTCTTGTGCTAGTGTGCAGACAATCCTGAGAAATGGGACTGTGCTAGACCCAATCCTAAGGGAACAAAGCCAATTATGTACTGAAGAGGCAGTGAGCAAACATTGAGAGTGACCTTTATTATGGAAAGGGATGAGGATAGTGCGCAAGTGTCTAAATTGGGGGTAGGGAAGAGAAGGTGGTCAATTCAATATCATTGAACATCTGGAAACCAAGCAGTCTGGCAGCAACTACTTGCAAGCAAAATGAGAGTCTTTTAGTAAGATAGTAACAGATAAGGGGTAACACGTTCCTGTAAAAGTAAAGGTCAGGTAGCAAGGCAAGGAGGGTGTGCATGCATATGCGCAAACAGGGAGGAGAGGAGGAAGAGAGAGCAAGGGGCTATCAAAAAAAGATTAGGTACCATGCATTGGGAAAAATTCAAGTGTAAGGGGTTGCTTAAGAAAGAAATTAAGGCAGGGGGAAGATAAACAGGGACCATGAATAAAGGTAGGATTAAAAAAAAATGAAACAGGACTTCCAGGGAGAAACTGGGCCTATTATTAGGCCAAAAAGGAGCAATTGGTGCATGAAGCCAGAAGACATGGGTGAGGTCTTAAAATAGACAAGACATTTGTAGCCAGGGATTTCAATTGGGGTGGTGAGGTTTAGAACAGGATTGAAAAGGTGTTTTAGTGGTTGTAAAAGGAGCATTAAAGGTTACAGACTTGCCCACCAAGCTGTTGTTTGAGAACATTTGTAGCTTGGGTCACGGATGACCTCGTCTTCTCAAAAACTTTAAAAAGATGCATTAATACCCAGGGCCTGATGAGATGTATCTCAGGCTGCTATGAGAAACAAAAGGAAGAGACTGATAGGGCCCTGGCAGAGATATTTAATAGGTCACTGGCCACAGGTGAAGTGCCAGATGACTAGAGGATCACTAATATGGTTCCTTTGTTCTAGAGCAGCAGGGCTAGGCCAGGAAATTACTGGTAAGGAAGTTTTGGTTTGGGGGGAAGGCAGGAGGGGGAAGGAAATGGAGGAACAGGATTAAACATTTGGAAGAGGGGGTGATTGATCAGGGAAGTGTTAGCAGAAATCCTGTCTAAATTGATATGGTTTACAGTGGTTTCAGTAAGAGGCCTTTAACAAGGTCCCACATGAAAGGCCAGTTCAAAAAGGTAAGAGCCTAGAGGATCCATGGCAATTTTTTTTTTTTTTTTTTTTTTAAAATTTGTGGGATGTGGGTGTCACTGCCTGGCCAGCATTATTGCCAAACAAATAATCTAAAATTGGCTTGCAAATAAGATGTTAAAGGTTGTTTGTAGAGTTGAGATTGGAAGCCTGTACAATGCTGTGAACCCTACTGTTAGTTACGTATATGAACCACTTGAATATGAAGGTATAATTAGGTTTGCAGATGACAAATTAGTGTTGACAACAGCAGGATGTGTGGTCTCTGGCTATAGTTGGATATGGGTTAGCTGTTAAGTTGGGCTGAGCAATGGTAGAGGTAAATGCTTCACCTCAAATTTTCAGAATCATATTACACATCTATTAAAGAGAACCACTTATTTGTTAACATGGGTCCTCAGTAGACCCTAGGGACCCAACAAAGTACTTCAGTATACAAAGTCCACAGATGCCTGAAGCTGTCAGAGGTATCCAGAGTAGCAAAAGCAGCATACAGGATGGTTACCTTCATTAGGAAGAAGTTAGTTAGAATTTAGACTGCAAAGATATAGGAACAAAATTAGAATTAGGCTGCTCCACCATTTGATCGTGACTGCTGTTTCTCAAACCCATTCTCTTGCTTTCTCCCTATAATCTAATATAGGGCCAAGGAAGCCTTGTTACTACTTTATGGAGGGGGAGGGGGGGTGGGGGAGAAAGAGATCTGAGATACACGATACACAGTGGGTAGATTGAGAGTTTTGACATCACCCCACCATGATAGATATGACCAAGACCAGAGGGCACAATTTTAAAAAAAAAGTGGTTTAAAGGAGATCTGCGAAAAAAAAATTCACCTAGGAGGCAGAAATACACAACGTGCTGCTTGACAAATGGTAGAGGTAGGCATTCTTGCAACATTTAAGCATCTGGATGAGCACTTAAAATGCCACTGCATAGTCGGCTATGGATTTAGTACACAGGTAAATGGGATTAGTGTAGTTTGGTTGGCACAGACATGGTGGGCTGAAAGGCCTGTTTATATGATAATGACTAACTGAACTAATTGACTCCTCCTTTATAACTACTGTTTCAACATAGAATTGTAGCTAGAGATATTAGACTAACTATAGCTTTTTGAAGAGGAAATAAATATGCAGCAATGGAGCACTGATGCCAATGGGAAAATAAACGGGCTGATATCTAAAGCAGCATGACACCAAAAAGCCTCAGTTAAAAAAAGTTAGTGATCTGTCATGGCAACAATGCCAAGAGGAAATCAATAGCAGACACCTGACAGGAATATATAGTCAAGTGGTCAAAAATCAATACAAACTCAAAGCTGTGGAAGATCCATAGACAGCAGCAACCTTCCCTCAGTCACATGCAAGCAGATCAGACCTTCAATGTCAGCATTTTAATAAATACTTTACGAGTGAAAGCTTAAAGAGGACCCAGTCACTGCCAATTCTGGCATTTTGCTTTATGCTGCACATTCAAAAAAAGGGGGCCAGTAACAAATGCCAAAGAGTTGATGTTCAGTGTGAAGTCTGCTGTCTGCTGTCATTATCTCTGTAAGGCAGAGATGTGGCTCACTTAACCAATACCACTCACTGGTGCAGTAGTACTAAAATGCCTGGACACCAACTACAACAGAATTTTATAGGGAAAAACATCTCCTTCAAACATCTAATCATGACTGAGACTACATAATTCAATAATCTAACATGGAGAGGTTCTGCAATATTTGGGATGATGCTTACACTAAGTTAAACTGGGAATGTTTAATCACCTGTAGGAGCTGCTCAATTCCCATTACTCCCTCTTATCTGCAGCAGACCATTCAAGTGTCAGGTTCACACTTTAATATTCAATACTTCAACTGTTGTGCATTATGGTGATTTTATTGACCTAGCAAGAACAGCAGACTGAAACCTCATCTACTGTAAAATCCTCAAGTGAGCATCTACAGAACAGCCAGCTTACATTAGAATGTAAGCTGTGAAATTAAATTTAAGTTAGAAAGCACTTGAAGCCAAAATGCAGAAATCATTTAATTATATAGGAAGAGTACTAATTTCAGTTGTAATTTGTAACTCAAATCAGAAGACTGTCCAGTGACAGATCCAAGTAGACATTAGTAAAGCAAAATAAGACAATTCACAAGTTAGACATTCTTTTCCTTTAAGAACTTTTTATTCAGTCCTACAATGTGAATAACCACCCAGATTGGAAATTGAAATGA